TGTGGAAATGGAGCAAGGAAATGATGAGACTCGTAGGGGAAGGGATAAGTTGAAAGGGGGAAAATGATGGAAAGAGTGACTCTAATCAGAATATATTGTAATGTAAAGAGACATGTTAAATTATAAACCTCTTGTACAACTATTGCAAAATAACTATCTTTTTTTAAAAGGGATTTTTTTTGTCAAGGCTGAATAAATGAGCATAAATGAGCAACTCTCCATGTACAAAGGCAGAATTTTGCTCATAGAGTCGCACCAAGCAGTAAGTCACAAAGAAACTGGAGGTAGAAAAGAGATATGAGACTGTAATGTTCTCCATTACACACATCATAGAGATTCACAAATATAAAACAAAGGCTCTCTCTTCTGTGATTTTAGAATGTTTTTTAAAAAAATCTTAAAGAAAAAGACAGTTATGTGAACATGTGATGGGTATCATCACTATCTGAAAACTAATTATTTGTTGATATTCCTATTTCTATCACTAAGTGATAAATATTGACAGATATAAACCACATAAACAGAAGCTCCTTAGAGTTCAAACAAAAAAATCAAAAGGAGTCTGAGAACTGGTGATACAAGCTGTCTCTCAACTACCCACCCAGCCCCACCCCCCAAAAGAAGAACTTGGCAAAGGAAGTAGATATTCCTGATGAAAAGGAATGGACGTGTTTTCAAATAAATAGCTCAATGCTTAATTTATATACCAATAAAGAAAGATAAGGCAAGAGGCACAGGATTAAAAAGAAAATCTAACGTGCCTCCTTAGCACTTCATTCTCATTAAAAAAAAAAGTCTAACAGAAGATAAATGAACTTATTTTAAAATAGATTTCACATGGAAACGTTTTGTCTCAAGGAAATGTGCTTTAGGGATGTCCCAAGATGACGCGCAGAAGGGTGGCCAGCAGGTTTAAATCAGGAAAATGTCCATTTTTTTTTCAGCTGATTCTCTAAGGAATCTATGACCAAAGAATAAAAATCAGTTGGCTGAAGATGCCAGCTTGCAGCTTGGATAATGAACTTATTTCTAAGCCATTTAAGCAAAGTTGTCAAACAACCCATAATGTTTTTTTAGAGACACACACACAACTTTTCTTTTTTTGCTTATGTGGTGCTGAGGAATTGAACCCAGGGCCTCAGGCATGCAAGGCAAGCGCTCTACCACTGAGCCACCTTCCCAGCCCTAACTTTTCTAAGAACTTATGATCATCTATTGATAATGCTTCACATTTTATGTTGATTAAAAAAATCAACTCAATGACCTGCTAATCAAAGAAAACATCAAGGATAGCTTCTTGGTAAATTTTCCTCAGCATCTCTGTCCCATAACCACTGATTTTGTGCCAACAGTAGTGGGAAATAACTTATTTCATTTTAGCTGACAAGTTCATTTTTGCTTCTGTACCATTAACTCAGGATTTTGATCTTAAAATCAAAAAGCATAGAAAAGTACAGCTTTGGAAGATAAGACAATTTCCAAAGACCCACAAGACTAGAATTTCAATGTAGCCATGAGTCCTTGTCACCTAATCTCTTTAGATCCTCTTCTTTCTCTCAAAGAAAATGGTGTTGGGTAGGGAGGGGATCTCTAAGGTAAGTTGAATAACCTAAGGTTGAAATGAATCCCGGATCTCTGCTTGGGAGCTTTGCCTTACCCTGTTCCCAATCTATACAAGGATAGAAATTCTGGGAATGTTCAGGTGTTAGAAACTGGCCAGTCAAACCTATCACTAGCACCCTACCTTAGCGCGGGTCCCCTTCCAGCTCTCAGGGTATTGTGGGTTCTTGAGACATACTCAGTAGAGCTGCGCCATAGCACAAGTAGGTGAATGAAGTTCTCACAAGTATACACAAGGGTCTGAGCCAACGCTTCCCTTAAAAGTTCAGAACCCAGCTATAAAATGGACAGCCCTCAGCAGCTTCCTCTCTTTCCAACTCATCTTCTGAAGGTCTCAGAGTGCAGGAGAGCTGAGCTCCAGAACAGTAAACTACACTTCACCATCACATCTAACAACCAGCATTGACTGATGTGTATTATATGCCAAAGCCTATGTCATGAGTTTTTCCACTCATTCCCTCCCAGAATCTTGAATCCGCTCACCAACTCCCATTAGTAAAATCCATCCAGAGGTAAAATGACCAGCAACAAGCTCAAAATCCAAGCTTGGATGTACTTGACCCTCTTGTTTTTGGCAAGACACCAGGTTGCTCCTCCTCTATCTACATATCCAAGAGCCAAGTTCCAGCTAACTCACCACTAATTAAATCCAATGAGGAATCACTGGATTTAATTACAGAAATCAATAAAGGTAAGTTCTGCTCCCAACAGTATAAGGCTGTATTCATACTACTGCTTGTACTACAACCTTCACATGCAGCGTGCATGTGCATAAGTGCACATGCTTGCACACACAAACACACATTCAAACATATAAATTAAAATGTCTGCCAGAGACTGTGGTACATAATATGAGTCACTTCTTAAAATCTAATCTGAACTCTATGGCCTTCCCATTTCAGTAATACATCCAACTACTCAACAAATACAAAAACAGGAAGAATAGCCAAAAACTCTTTTTAATCATTTTCAAAACAAATGAAATCGTTCAGATTATTTTGGATACAATGTATCTTCTCCAGGACTAGAAGCCATGCTCTTGGGCCAAATGTCTGCCAGAAACTTTTTTGAGGGGGAAGAGGAGGGTAAAATTGCTGACAGGACTATTAGCAATTCAGCTACATCACCAGGGCAGACAAGGAGACTCTAATATCTATGATTCAAGCTCACTGGAGAGGTCCCCTGGGTCAAAAACTTTTACTGATGAAAAAGAGAATTCTTTTTCAAGGAAGCTTCCACACCCACTGTCTCTTAAAATACACTGGAACATAGTGGGCTCCAAGTCAGACTAGGAAATGTGGGTGGATGGATAGTGTTGTGTATAATTCCGGGGTTTGTTTCAAGTCATTAAAGATCCTCACTCAACATATAAAGTCAATACAAAAATAATCCTTCTGTTCACTTCATAGGCTCTGCAAAAGGTTTCCAACCATGGAATCCCATTTGATTCTTCAGATGATCCTGGTAGAGACGGGTGTCATTCTCCTGGGACAGAAAGCAATCCATAAGGCGGACGAGCTTATTCAAGGTCACCCGCTGGGGCAGCTGCCCCAGCAGGATGCAGATATCCTCCTTGGGATTCCTCATCCATAGCACTTTGCATCACATTAAGTGGTGACTTTATGAGACACCACACTTAGATGATCTCACTTCCATATATTAACAATTTCAGAAGGCAACAAGCCAAGGGCCAGAAATTTCAAACACTCACAGAGGAGAATTTTCAGTGGTCCCGATCTAGAGGGGAGAGTTGCCTTGTTTTGCCCTTCTTCCCATGGGTGGCCATGCCTCAAAGGCTCACACCCCTCTCCAGAAGTAAGGTGTCAGGGAACACAGGCCCAGTTGTCCTCACTGTCAAAACCACTGAAAACAGAAGACCAGATCACAGACCTCTTGAACCTTCCACAGGGCATTGCTCACTTAGCATTGCTTTAGGTGAATGTGAAGGTCCCAGGTGATACAAAATGACAATGTGTCCTTCTGCCAATACACAATCAGAAGACCAACTGAGCCAGACCTGTGATGCCAATGTGATGATAGACAGTCCTTGCTGCCTTTCAGGTCCCTGAATGAGGTTCTCTCCAGTATGACAGATGAAGAAATTAAAGCTTCAAGCAATGAATAACTTGCCCATCATCACCCACCTAGGAAGCAGTGTAACTAGGAATATGTGACTAGGACACTGTCAGCAAAAGCCATCCTGGAGAAGAAACATAGACTAATGCCAGCTTTCTTCTCACTCCTTCCAGCCCTCCACTATCCACCAACCTTCTAGACAGACACCTGGATAGAAGTCAACCTCCAAATTCCCACAGGACTTGGGGGGCGGGGAGGGGGGTCTGCCTGTGGACAGGGTCTTTGATAGTCAGCCCGATACCAAATATTCCTTTCAAAGCAGATAGACCCAATCTGGTTTAACCTGAAGTAGGTTCTACCAACCACTTTTCCAAAATTATCATACCCCCAAAACTCCCAGAAACTCCAACAGAGAACATCAGGAACACCAAAGGACCAAAGCATACCGGAGTGTTTGGCATTGAATTATGCTGCTAATATCACCATTGCCAAACAAGTGTGTGTTGGGGGTGGGGGGGGAGGGGGGAGTAGTAAAATACCTTATAAGTCTCTTAAAAATGTGTTTACACCCACTCTCACCAACCCTGGACCCTGAAGCAGGCCAGCTAAGCATCCTCATCCTCACTTTTGAAAGGAACAACTAAAAGCCAGAGTTTGCCCAAGGTCAAATGAATTGGCTGTAAAATAGGAAGGAGAACCCACCCTGCTATTCCTTCCGTTATACCTCCCTCCAGAGACAGGGCTGGCCAGTATTGCAAGAACAGGAAATTGAAATGGCTCCTGGTAAGACAGCAAGCCTGCCAAACCGGGAGAGAAGCTGACAAGTGACCGGAGCCCTCTCAGAATTGGAAATGCCTCTTCAAAGGAGCTGCCTGTGAGCCTCTTCCCACCTGCTGCAGTAATGAAATGAGCTCCCGGTGCCCACCACCCACCAGTCCATCTCCCCAGACACTGGGCACCAACTTAGGAGGATAGCTCAAATCAAGGGGGACTCTGAGACGCAGCTTTCCAACTTGAACTTAGCAGCTTTTATTCTTATTCTTACTACATCACCTCTCTCTCTCTCTCTCTCTCTCTCTCTCTTTCTCTCTCTCTCTCTCCCCCCTCTCTCTTAATCCCTTCCCCATACCTACAGAACTCTAAGAGGCTAGAAGCAGAGACCGGCACCAGCTGCAGTAGCAAACCGAGTTAACACCCGATTTAACACTCGATTTCAAGAAGGGGGATTTATAAGAGCAAAAATCATGCACTCCAGGAGTCATGCACCCCTTCCAAAATATGGAACAAGACTTCCATCACTTTACCTGAGTTGTTTTGGATCTTCTGCCGTGCATGCTGTTGCTATGGCTAATTTGGGGGTTGGTGGCACCTTCGGAAAGACAGTGCGATTTCCTACAGGGAAGTGTGTTGTAATTACTGTATGGAAGGTTCTCTTCTGCAGCCGCTGGTGGCATCTTATGGTTTGCGAGATCGGGAATATCAGATACCAAATTCCGGCAGTAGCCTGTGAATTTGCTCCTGGGTCCCCCGTTCGCTGCTGCCCCGGAGTTTTTCTGAGCGTACAAGTCACCCAGGGAGTTGGCACGCTGACAGGTGCTGAGCTGCGGCGGAGTCGCCTGCGTTTCCATCCCCCGAGCCTCCTCGCAGTCCTTCTCTTCGGCAGAACCCAAGATTTCTTCGTTGCTTGTTAAATGTTCTTGGCTCAGATCGGAGAGTGAGAATTCCAGGCTGTCCTCCCGCCAGATGTCTGCAGATTTGGAGCGTTTCTTCTTAAAGCTCGTTGTCTCCATGAAAGCGGGCCCATTGGATGTATAGGGATGCTGCCTCCTGCCTCCCTCGGCCAAGTACGGCGCGTCATCCTCGCGGCCCAGCCTGCTCCCCTCCGAGTCTGGCACGCTCCGCACCGAGGCTGCGGTGAGCACGATGCTGCTGTCCACGCTGGGAGTGACGGAAGAATCCGTGTAAGACACGGGTCTCAGGCCCATGTCCACGCGGTCCACCCAGATGGGGCTCCCGAAGTCCTCTAGGGTCCCTTCCTGGGAGAAGGGCTCCAAGCCATTTTCAGCCAGGGACTGGGGGATGCTCGGGGTGCTGCTGGATCGGTTGCTCACTTCGGAGTTCCGGTGGATCACCTTGCCCGAGGAGGCGTGCCGCGTGCGGCGCGTCTTGTGCGACAGGCGCAGGGAGCGGGACGTGTGCTTGCGCCCCAGGCTGGCGTGCTTTTCCCGGTAAAACTCGTGGTCTACATTTTGGCTTTCGGCGTTTCCCATGGTTCTAAGATCTGCAGCAAGGTGGGGGGGGGGGGGAGAGGATCGTTGAGGCACGATTAGAATGGGAACAGGTATTTCAGACAGGGCGCAGGGAGGAGACAAGCCTGGAAGCAAGTCAGCTTCCTGCGGGATGGGGCCCTCCCCTGGCGGCAGGTGTCAGCTACCGCCCATCGCCCGCTCAGATGGCGGCCGGACTGAAGTAAGCGCAGAAGTACATGTAAATGCCTGCGCCCGTCCTGGGGGCAGGCGCCTTAGCCTTTGCACCGTTCCAAACGCAGCTCCCTTCACTTTCTTCCTCACCTCTGCAATTGTACCTACCAGTTTTAAAACAGTGTGTCTCTATGCGGGAACAGATCACACTATGCAAATGCAAAGACACGTCCTTACTACCTGGCGTGTGCAAAGGCGATCCCGCTGCTACCACCTCTAAAACAACAAGACATTAATTAAAAAAAAAAGTTTGTCTCTATGCTACTCATAAACAACACTCTGATGTCCAACCCAAGTGGAATTATTCCGTTTGGGATTAGGTGTTTATACACTAAACAGATACATAGCTCATAAGACAAAATTGAGAGGTAAATTCAGTAAACTGCCTCCCTCCTTGACAAATATTTCCTTGTTTTGTTGGAATTTTTGTGCTATGATTTTTTTTTCTTTTTGGTGGTGTTTAACATTTTATTTGGACTGTATTCATTATCGATAAAAGATGGAGAGGGAAATCTCAAGAGGTAGATCAAGGCAAAAAGAAAACAGGTCTTAATCATTCATTTTCACAGCTCTCTGAAACCTCTGATTATTTGGGGGTTTGGAACAGAGAAAGGGGATTTTTGGAGTGGAGGTGGGAATGGATAGAACAAAATAAAATTAAAACCTTGTTAAGCAGCAGACGAATGGGTTTATTTCTGGGAGCAAATCCAACCTGTGAACGAACACCAATCTGGTACATGGTGCCCTGCACACAGAAACTCACATTGTGAAACCAGCAGATGTGACTCTGCCTTTCAAGGCCTCTCGCCACATTTTTCCAATCTCTGGCCCTGACCTGATGACACAATTGTGGTACCCACGGCAGGCAAGAGAAAACTCTTCAAAGCCCAACAGTGGTGACAGAAAGCTCTTCAAAGCCCAACAGTGGTGACTCTCCACTCAGGCTATGCTTACTAAGGAAGGTCTTTCAACTTCCTTTCAAGCTAGACATATTTAAGACAAGGCACACAAAAATACCTGAAAGGAAATAGCATCGCTGGGAGCATCTACAATGGACTCTTGTAGCCACCCACATAGCCATTCATCAAGTTACTGAGTACCTACCATGTTTTAGAAGTCAGAGAAACAATATTAAACAAGAGACTCAGTCCCTGCCCCCATGAAACTGATATTCTAACCAGGGAAGATTTAAACAAAAAGTAAAAGGTGCCATGGAGAACAGGAAATAATGATGCAGTGAGCACTGCACAGAGATGCAATGCACTGGATCTAATCTACCTGTCACTGCACAAGTCTACAGTTCCACCGAACCCTCTGCTCAGTTCTACATGTGCACCTTCACTGAAATCCAATTTGCGCTAACAGGAAGGGAAAAACCTCTACTTCATGTTGTGTGAGTTCAGAGGTAATTCATCCAGATACCAGAAGTCACGCTATTCCTGTACTGGAATATTCCCTGCATGGCCTCTTGCTGTGGGATTCTGAGAGGGACTCTTCCAAGAAAGAGATCTCCCTTTCACTAGCAGTAAGTGTGTTTCAAAAGCACTCCATTTATACTTCTCTGCCTGCTGTCTAAGAAGCAAGAAACACAAGTAACTCAGAGTAGAAGACATAGAAGGGTTGGTGTCAGTACATTACCATTGATTACCATTCTTCAGTCTAGCACATGCTAGATATACACACACACACACAAACACACACACACACACAAATGCTGCACACACCTGGGTAACAATAAAGGCCATGACCAATTCCTCTCTCTTCCTTCTTTCCTTCAAACTCAGGGTCCCACACTTACTAAGCAAGCACTCTACCACTTGAGCCATGCCTCTAGTCCTTTTGCTTTTATTTTTCAACGAGAGTCTCGAGCTTTTGCCAGAGACAAATTTGAACTGGAATTCTCCTACCTCCACCCCCTGAGTAGCTGAGATTACAAGCATACACCACACCACACTTCAGTTTCAGTGACTAATTTCTTAAGAGTTCCTGGCTTACATAGGAAATGTGGTGCTGGGGTATTAAACCCGGGGCTATGCTCTTAGTAGGCCACTGATTTAAGTTGCAACTGAACCCTAGCTCTTGATTTTTTTTTTTTATGTCGGTCATGGAGCTTAACTCTGGGCCTGGACGCTGTCCCTCAGCTCTTCAGTATAATACTAGCATTCTACCACTTAAGCCACAGCACTACTTCCAGCTTTTTCTGCTTATGTGGTGCTGAGGAATTGAACCCAGGGCCTCATGCATGCAAGACAAGCACTCTACACTGAGCCAACTTCCTAGCCCACAGCTCTTGATTTTTTAAAAGAAATAAATTAAATATAAATGAAATTGCCTAGATGCTTTAATAATAAAGACTTCAACGAACAGTTCCATTTTAAGAATTGCACAGAGCTGGGTGCTGGTGGCTCACACCTGTAATCCTAGCTACTCAGGAGGCTGAGATCTGAGGATCAAGGTTCAAAGCCAGACCGGGCAGGAAAGACCGAGAGACTCCTATCTCCAATAAACCACCAGAAAACTGGAAGTGGCGCTGTAGCTCAAGTGGTAGAGTGCTAGCCTTGAGCTGAAGAGCTGAGGAACAGTGCCCAGGCCCAGAGTTCAAGCCCCATGACTGACAAAAAAAAAAAAGAATCACATAGGTTTAAATTCAAAGAGGAAAGAATTATGGATATAACAAATTTAATGGAAGGAATATACTGAAATACACACAGATTTACCCTCCTCTATCCCATATACCAAAAATTGCCAATATAAATGGATAGACACTTTTTTCAACAACAACTTTCTAATTAGGTTCATTTCTACTGGACAGACACCAGTGGGACACACCTGTAATTATAACTATCCAGGGGGCTGAGATCTAAGGATTGTGGTTCGAAGCCAGCAGGGACAGGAAAAGTGTATAAGACTCTCATGTCTTTAAAAGCCTAAAGTGGAACTGTGGCTCAAATGAGCCAGGCAGAAAGAAAAGAAAGAAAGAGAGAGAGAGAGAGAAAGAAAGAAAGAGAGAGAGAGGAAGGAAGGAAGGAAGGAAGGAAGGAAGGAAGGAAGGAAGGAAGGAAGGAAG